AATGGTGAACACCTAATAACATGGTGGCCATTTTTGTCCTTTTGCTTAATATGCAAAATTCTGTGCTTGTAAAGGAAAAAAAATCCCACTGCTTGTTTTTCAAATGATGATAAATTAATATTTTACAGGGAAAAAACATACTGAAGAATATCAAAGAATGAATAAACAATATCATGAAGAAACTGCTGCTTATTTTTTCTCAGAAACACTATCATCAAAAACAAACTAAAAATTAAACCCACTGCACACTAAAAAAACTGCTGATTAAGTTTACAAATTTTGGCAACTAATCTTTAGATTTTGGTGACTGATGGAGGTGGCCGTTTTAACAAGGAAGGACCAAGAAAATTAACATGCTAATTTAAATTACATGTAAAAATATCTAAAACACATGCAAACTATATTTATACATATTTACCAGCTGTAATGACATTGGAAAAACTGCAGTTCTGAACTACAGTTTTTGGTGGTTTTTCTTCCAAATCACATAAAACATCACTAAGCTAAAGAATGCAAAAATGGAAAAAAAATTTCAATAACTGGTGTCACAAATGCTTTTTACATAATTATATTTAACAAATCAAATCTACATAATTAATAATGACATCAAATATTTAAAAACGCAATTTATTAGTTATATCCACAAGCAATTAATTAAAGCAAATGAAACATGCTTAATGAAATAATTACCTTGCCTATACAGCAAACAGCCAGATCAATTTCTCCTTCTAATGAATGAAATTTGGCTTTTAACCATAAAGCTGAAATACAAATGAAATTATTATAAATGACTGGAAAAGAAGTCAACACATTTTTTTTTATTGTCGTATTTGGAAAACTGCACAGTTTGTACACACACAGCACAACGACATGCATAATAACTACATTTTTTACTTTATTAGTTTAAAAAATGCAGTTTAAATTTTATTAAAAATAAACTGCTTATATTACATTTGTAATTTCATCATAATTTAAATCTAAGCTATATTATTTAACTGAAACATAGCCTCTTACAATAACTAAACTGCAGTTTAAAGTTCAAGAATATTTCTGATCCATTACCATAAATTAAATTTTATTATGTGTATTCTAAATCAGGTTGAATGAATTACATTATAATACTCAGTAAACAACTAAACATTAATTACATTATGACATAGAGGGGAAGTATAGATATTAGAGCTGAAGTATATTGTGAATGTATTTGAATTATTTACATAATCAGCAAATGCTAATGAAAAGGTGGTTTCACATATCATATATATGTAAAAAATTTCCACGCATCTAGTAAATCTAACCAAGAATCAAACCTTATATAAAATTTCATATTGTCTTAATGCACTTCCATCATTACTTTCTATCAAATATGCCCATAAGTGCATCAAAGGATATTTCAGATTATATTATTGGTAAAAAACTGCCAAACAAGGAGTTTTGATACATGAACTCTTTCCCTCCCCCCCCCAGAGACAAGAAATCAGGCACAACTGTGAATAACATTACCTTTGTTTGGGGGTTTCTGGAAAGAACAATATAAAGTTTTATGAAAAACAGCATGACTGGGAACAAATGATGGATATTTTTATACAAAAAGAGTAACAAAAAAAAAAAAAAAAAAAAAAAAAAAAACCCTTTAAAATGGACCTTGCCTTTTATAGAATCTATAACTGAAACAACATCATGAATTATCTTTAATTTTCTTCATCTACAAAATGTGTTACTGCCTGGAGCTATAATAAATAGTTTTAGATTTCTCTATGTGGCTTCTTTATTCAAGAGAGTTATACAAACCTTTAAAATGCAAGAATTCTAAGTTTTTATTTTATTAAGTTCCTTTCTTTGCTGTTCATTAGGTTGGTAGACATTTAAATCAGGAATAGACAACAAATGTGCGAAACCTTGTCTAATCCCTTTAAGGATATTGGAAGAGAACTGAGGTAAACTACCTATTTACCCAGATAATCTCATAATTGCATAATATACAAAAGCTTGATGATCAGGTTGGGCAACCTTGACATTTGATTAGAATAGCTTTTATCATTCATGAAAAGAATTTGAAACTGTACAGCATATGTATTCTAAATTTGAATCAAGTAATCTGTCCCAGTACTTCTCAGTATTTACAAAGTCAAGAGTGCATAGATGGAGATTAATGGCTGCATAAAGAGACAACCTCATTCACAACTAATATCCTGCAAAAATATTCAATTTATTATATCTGAATAATTTGTTCTCAATTAACTCATACTATGACAAATGTCATACAGGAAAGAAATCTGAACTAATTTATGAATAGTAGTTTTGAAATTTTATTAAATACTTATTTTTACTTTTCTTCCCTTTCTTTTCTAAAATTTTATCACATAACTGTCTGTGTTTATTTTATATTTTTTTATTATCACATTTTTTTGTCTTATTTAGATAAAAAATATTTTTCTTTATTTGTGGTTAATTATTTTATTTTAATGTGCTTAATGACTTTAGTATTTTGCAGTTTTCGTAATTCTGCATAAACGTATGCTGGAACTAGATAAATAATACTAACACAATGAAATATAATATATGACGATATTTACCTATTTTACATTCCACATTCTCAAAAATTTACCTTCTTTAGTTAATGACATTAATTCTAACTTATATTTTTTTAAGTTTTTAAAATTCTGATCTTTTAATTTTTCATGTTTCATTGCTGTTTTCCTCAAAAAGTGACACTAATTTCATTTTTGCTTTGCTCCGCCCATTGTTTTTGATTTAAATACAGTCGTCACATTTCCCTTCTCTGTAGAATTCCCCCCCCCTCCTGAAAAAGAGAGAGCTGTGCCAGATTGCCCTCAAAATTGATAGAGTTTTATTTAAATTACATGCTTGCTTTTTTACACTGGTGTGTTTCTCCTTCTATTTGATTTAGAGATTTCTCACCAACTGGTGACATTTTGGAAGTTTTTAGAACATATATTTTCAAGAGCCTACAGCTGAGTATTTTTGGGAATATTTAAGTTTTTTTTTTTTGTTGTTGTTGTTGTTGTTCTTGTTGTTTTGCACTGTTTTACTAAAACGACAAATAAAAACCATCTCAGGAAGTTACACGGTTTAGTTAGCGGTAGTTTAGTTGCTTGGAAAGTGAATTTGCAATTTTGTTTGTCATGGGAAATTTAAAGGCATGCATTTATAATAACAAGTGAGTGTGCCCTTTAGGAACTGAATCTACTTATTTGTCATTATATCCAAGATGATTACAGCAATATATTTCAGTTCTATCTGAAAATTTTTTAGCATTTTTCCCCCTTCATTTGCAAACAGTATTACTGTCTGAAGCTATAATAAAAGTTCTAGTTTTTAGATTCATCAGGCTTGTTTATTCAGATTGATAGAAAAATTTGGCCTGCCATAGTGTTAACCTTTACTGCAGACAGATATAGCTGATTCCTTGTTCTGTGCAAATAATCAAGCTCTGCATATTTGAAAATGGGAAAATGAGCAGCTATATGAATTTAGGTAATCTTCATATTTCTCTCTCTTTCATCATGTTCAAACAGCCAGAAGGGGGTAGAGGATGCCAGAAGAATCATGATATATGTAATTATGTTTAGTGGTTTTGATATCCCAATACTTAGGGTTTCTATTCTTGAAATGCATAAATAATAATGGAAAATCAACCTTCAGTTAAATTAGAAAACATAAAACACATATGAAGAGAAAAAGAACTACACATGTTATAATTAACATAAAATTATTAACCCCTTTGAGCCGGGTAGCGAAAACGCGCGCTCATCGCGGAGGCCGGCAGTGTCTCCGCTGCTCGCTCCAGGCCCGTGGGCTTTTGCTACTAAGCCGAAATCCATAAAATCTCCGAAGTATCAACGCATTGTTAATAATCTCTATAGATATGTAAAGGTTTTGCTTATAGATATTTTTATATATAACTTTACTTACCTCTGTCTTGTTTAAATGCACATTTTACACTTTATTTTAATTATCACCATTTGATGACTTGTTAACATTATACATCTGAACTAATATATTACTTAAAAATCTCTTTTCGTATGAAATTTTAAAACATGATCTACACACATCCTAAGTACATTCCTGAACTCTAATAACTCATTTGCCGTTTTGGAGGATTTTCCGGAATGTGAACAAATGAAGCATCGTCGTCTCATTTTTTATCAGTCCTTCTGAACAAGTTGGAAAATGTCTTCGTAATCTTTCATATCAATATCAGAATCAGATTTCAGAATCAATATTGAAAATTCTGCATCATTTCTTCTATTCATGCTTGTTAAACATTTTCGCCTGCTACAATGACCGGTAAAAACAGAAAGAATTCGTCTAACAAGATCTATTATTTTCTAAAAACTGAACTGTAACCAATACTCAACGCTTTAGCGCATATAAAACTTCTCTTACATAAACAAGTACACGTGCGAATAAAGTGCATTTAAAGGACATCATAAATCACTCCATTCGGAAACTTTGTTCCCCGTTTGTTATATAATCAAAAACGTGTATGTGAGTCATGCTTCTCTCATTTGATAGAAGGTCTAATGTACTGTATTTGAACCATATGGACATAAGTGCCATCTTGTGCAAACTTATAGTTTGAAAACTTTCCAAGGTCTGCACAAATAGTGACAGTCGTAGAAACGCAACAATGCTCTGGCACGCCTGCGTGTCGGCCGGTAGATAAGTGTGTTCGTTGCTGGCACGTATACGTGACAGTCGGCACGAAGGGGTATTGTCAAGAAAACAGTCAGGCATTTTCTTTTTTCATGAACTGAGAATAATTAACTTATTTCAAAAACTATAATGAACCAATATTTAGTAGGTTCCACTGAATCACATTTTATACATTTATGAATTGATTTTTAAGTAATTTATTCTAATTCAAAGTATTTAAGTTAAATCTGGGTTTCTGAATTCTGTAAGTGAACTTATTTTGATTAACTTAAAAGATTACTTACCTCTAACAGTAAAATTTAACCAATCTTTGCCAAGCACATCCATTCTTACAGTCAGCTGGACAAGAAATTCCATATCAGAATGAAAATCATTACCAACTCGACAAGGACTACTTTGAAAACTGTTATTGGATGGTCTATAAATAAAAAGAGCAATTGTAATGAAACTTACATGTATTCTTATTACGATACTATTTTATAAAAATTAACTGTAAAACTTCACAAATCATGCTTATTTTTTATTATATAACACTGATATAATAAAATATAATAATTATATAAGTTTAAAAAGATGTTTTAAAGGTTAAATGTTTACAAAAAGATCACTTTACATTTGAATAAAATACTTAAAATACACTTACACTTTAGGTGAAAAAGACATTGAATGTCCAGTGCTTAAATACCAGTGATCAACTTTAAATTCACAATACACCAAAATGGCCTGAAATAAAAAAAAGTTTTGTCATATGTTTGTATTATTAAAAGCAATAGATATTTACTTTTTTCTCTAGCATATCCAAAAAATTACAGTAATATTTGGCATATTGATAAAATAACACGAAAACTAAAATTATATTGTCAATATGCACTCAAATAATATCTATTTTAAACCTTTAATCTACCTAATAGAACTTAAATAATAAAAAAAAGTCACTTACCATTCCAATTTCTTTTATGCGAAGACATTCAGTTTCATGGCTGAAAAAAAAAGTACATGTTACATATCATAACTTTGCAAAAATAGAAAAGAAGCTACACAGAAAAATCTTTAAATTATCTCTTTGAATAAAATAAAAGAATATATGTATTATATATATTAAAAAAATTAATCTGAGGTTAAAAAATATGAGGTTTTTAACTGCATTTATGGCAACCATGGGCAGGTTACCCCTAATGATAAGGCTGCTGCTAATCTTTTGAGTTGCCACTAACAAAAAATAAGTAAACTAATTTTTATGACAGAATACAAAATGCCGAAGAATAGGGACAAGTGGCATTGTTCATGCTTGCCAAAGTAAAATACATAAAGAGGGTATTTTCAATACAAAGTTCCGTTTAGAAGAAATGAACAATTCCTTAAAAACACTTGATTTGTCTAAATCTCCTGGTCCTGATAATATTCATGGTAAAATGATACACAATCTTAGCCCAGGAGGTAAAGAGTCTCTCTTGGAAATTTTTAATAAATCCTGGAAGTTAGGTAGACATTAGGTAGACTTCCTCAAGACTGGAAAAGTGCTGTTGTTGTACCAATTAGAAAGCCTAATAAACCAGTTGGATTTCCTGACAGTTTTAGATCTATTGCATTGACTAGTTTCCCTTTTAAGCTAATGGAAAAGTGATTTTACATAGAACGACATTTTACTTGGATTCTAATGATTTATTGCAGAAAGAACAATATGATTTTAGGAAGGATCACTTTGCTATGGATCAAATCCTGTACTCTGGACAAAGAGTCAAAGACTCACATAACTTGAAATCTACTAACCACACAATGACAGTGTTTTTAGACCTGACAAAAGCTTGACTCTGGATTAATAAGCTGACTGCAAAGCTATATGATATTTTTAAATCTGATGGGAAGGCACTTGCCTAGGATGAAGATTTTTCTAAGGGGCAGATCTTTCTTTGTTAACTTTAATGAATCCTATTCTAGAGACTAAGTCAGGGTCTGCCTCAGGGCTCTGTGATGAGTCCCATATTATTTTCATTATATTTGGTAAGGATTAAGACAGTTATTAACAAGATATGCGAAACTGAACTAATTGCTGATGATCTAATTTTATGGAACTCTGGTCTAGATATTGGATTGATTGAAAATAATATCAATTCCACCCTTTCTGAAGTGGAAGTTTTTGCCACTCACCATAAAATACAATTTAACATCTCTACATATTCTGTGAGTCTTTTTACTACTAATCAAAAATTATATAATTATCAACAACATATTATTATACTGGATCAATCCTTACCATATATTAAACATCCTAAATATTTGAGCTATACACTTGGAGTTGTTGAGTAAATATTGAAAACCTGTTTTTGAAGGGCAGGAAAAGATTTAAAATCCTTAAAGGCCCGTTTCCACTGCTGCATATGCGTTGCGGTGCGTATGCATTTCTCCAATCAGCGAGCGAATTCACTTTGATTGACATCTGCAATCCGGTCGGTGTGCGGTGACGGATGACATACGGATGGAGTTCAACAATGTTCAACTTCTATCCGTATGTCTGCGGATGCGTTGGGGTCACGTGGTGAAACGGAGCAATCAGGTGCAGTCACCAAAAATTAATGGCGGCAGAAGAGCGAAGAACGCTCGCTTAGAAAAAGAACGTTTTGCTAAAAAATGCTTATTTCTGAATTAACATTATAGCGAGAAATCTGCGTGCTGAAAAAGATAGCAATCAGCTGAATTTAATTTAAAAAAGATAAGAAAAACAAGATAACTGCAACTACAGTACTTGTTCGTTCAAGAAATTCAGTTCAAGAAAATCAGCGACAAAAATTATAATTCCAAGTCCATGAAATAGCAAAATTTGTTCTGATAATCATTTTTTAGTTTTGCATACTCATTTAGCTTTAATGAAAATGAATGTCTGATTATATCAAACTGCTATAGCCAATTAGATATGATTAAAAATTTGCTGTTTTTCTTTTGAAACAGGTAAAAACTAAAAATGCTAATATAAATTAAATTTGATAGCCTTTTAAATACTCCAGTCATTGAAGAGTATGTTAAATTGTATTCCCTTTATAAATATCTTTTTGGCTAACATATATATGTAAGCACATGAAATATATTTTTAGCAGCCCGCTAACTTCAATCGGAAGCCACTTTAAAGATAATGATTTTGTAAAAAATGTACTAGAAGTGAAGAACAAACTCTGGTGAATTTTCAGGTGAACACACTGAAATAGGACCAAAAACTTAAGTTTAAGAATTGATTACTTGTTATGTATATAAGCCAAAATATGCAGCGACTAGCGGCAATCCTAGCTTAGTGGTAAAGTTGATGGTAAAGATGTTCACCTTTTGGAGTCCGTGAGTTCGAATCCATACGCTTTTTGACCATGTCTGCAACTTTCTTCCTTTATTCCAATTTGATCTATATTCGTGTTTTATAATTAATTTCTATTATTATATGCATTAAATATATTTTTTTTATTTATGCTCTTATTTATTTAAATTTTTCCCGCAAAAAAAGTTTGAAAATTATATATACTAAATTAAAGCATCCTGTACATATATATTTGAATTTAACAAAATTCTATTCGTAAACAAATTTAAAGATTAAATTAATGAAATAAGCAAACAAAAAGAATGATAATTATTGCTGCGATTATCTACAAATCATTAAATTCTGAGGCATATGTAAATCAAGTGCAGTATCAAAATCCATGAATAAATATATAATTCCAAAATTTATTATACCTAAAAAATTATAAAAATGCATAAGTGAATAATGCGATAGATTATTATCCTAAAAAAATTATAAAAATGCAATGAATAATAGGATAGATTTACTCTTAAAAAAATTATAAAAATGACAAGTGAATAATAGGATAGCTTATTAATCCTAAAAAATTTAAAATGCATAAATGAATAATAGGATAGATTTCTCCTAAAACCTTATAAAAATGCAAAGTGAATAATAGGATAAATAAATTTTGGAATCCTATATTTATGATGGATTTTGAACTTGCACTTGATTACATCTGCTCTCAGAGTTTAATGTATTGTATATAGTTCGCAGCAATAATTATTATTTATGTTTGCATTAAATTCACTTAAATTTAATTAACTTTAATTGCTTTTTTGAATAGAAAATGTTTGGTTAATTCAAATTTCATCATTACAGCAGGGCACAAGAGAATATTTAAATTTAATTATTTGAAAATCCGATATATATATATTTCGTTTCACTTTTAAGTAAATGTATATACATGTGCTGAGACTTTAAGATGTTTCCAGATCTAAACTTTCATTACCAATTAACATGACGCAGTGTATTCAGTCTTCTCCAGCAGAAGCGTAGGAATTAATAAATTAAATATTTCCATTTTCTTTACCTAATGTGTGTATATAAAGAGAAAAGCTTATTTTTATAATTCTTTATAAAAAGAGATTGAATTAAAAATGTTAAATAAAAATAATTTTTAGGCTTTGCATAAAAAAAATGCCCATAGGCATTTAAAACAAACGAGATTTCTAAAAATTCAGCTAGACCCTGAAGTCAGCGGTACAAGCATAACAAATTTTGTGTAAATATTGGACCTTCCTTACAGGCTCTGTACTTTTACGTACAACTATGTTTAATTCCTTTAATTTTTTTTATTTTATTATTGATTGTTACTTTTTCACTAACAGTACATTTGTTTTAATAATATATATATATTTATAAATTTAGGCTTCTAAAAGACAAAAAATTTTTAAAATGACTCAGTTATGGAATTAGTGATGTTCAAATATGCTTATACCTTACTATCTAAAATTGCTAGCGTACTTATTTCGTAGTTCATAAGCAGAAATAAAAATTTCCAATACATGGAATTAATAAACAAACTTTCTGCGTTTAGTCAGGATCCATACAATCCAAAACAAACAATATCGCTACGCGGAAAAATTCAGATGTCAGCGTCGTAACTTGCGAACTGCTGTTGGCGCGAAATATTACAGTGACACCTAGCGGCGGAAATGAAAATATTTTACGGATACGTAGCAGTGGAAACGCTTGTACGGATGCCGTAGGCGTGTCTTCAATTGACGCAACGCGTTCGCACGCAGTAGTGCAAACGAGCCTTAAGTATATACTGGTACCGAGTGTGAGTATATACTTAGTATATACTTAATACGCTCGCACTAACTACGGGGTGACGGATTCATCTATTCTCAAATCTACATATATGTCACTCATAAGACCCATTTTGAAGTATGGGTTGAAGATTTACTTCTGTGCTTCTCCTACCAATTTGGCTAAACTTGAGCATGCTCAGTTGAGTGCAGCCCATCTAATTCCTGGCTTACACAATAGCTGCCCAGCGCTTTGAATGTCATATACAACCGTTGAATCTGAGATGCAAAGCTACACTATCAAAATACTTCAATAAACTATACAGTTATGGTACTCATAACCGTACCGCTATAATTCTTCGTGACTGGGTTACTAAACAACCATTGAAAAGAAACAGCCCCTTTTCTTTGGCTTATATCATGGGTTTAATTGATACAACTGTTAAGAGATACTCACTGAAACTTACTATCGACCCATTGGGAGAACTTCCTGGCATCTATTTTCACACAGACCTAACAAAAAAACACAGATTTACCAGACTATTTTCAGCAGGTGCTGAAAACTTAATGGCATTCCCTTTAATGTTCTTCTGATTTTCAATGACAGCAGTAAAAATAAATATAGGAATAGCGGTAGTGGGATTTTCACTAGAACACCTATTAATAGGTTTTATTTAGAAACCCTGATCACTGTTCTGTTTTTCATTCTGGACTTATAGCAACTGAACATGGGTTTTCAGGCTGCATACACTTGCACTGCCTACAAAGATATCTGGATTTTGATTGACAGTCACACTTCTATCCAGCATCTGTAAAACTGGCCTCATATTGGCGATAAGAATTCACTCTCTATTTCGGCTTTACTGCGAAAATTCTCTTCCTGTCATGATGCATATCTGCAATGGATCCCTTCACATATTGGCCTCAGTGCTAATGAAATGGCTGATGCCCTGGCTAAGGAAGGTATTTCAATGATTCTGACCACTGGCACTCTGACCTTTTTGAAAATCTGCTCGAAAGTTAAATCTAGTGCTGCCTCTTCCTGGCACTCTCCTCCAGCTTATGACTGATATTTTCGAAAGCAGCTGGGAGGTACTATTGCTTTTGGGGGTTTATTGTGCTCAGCAGACTACTCTGACGAGACTCCTAAGTGGACACCTAAAATGCCTTAAATTTGACTGGGGAAATAAGATCTACCACATCTGTAGGAAATGTAATACTGATAATTTCACTCTCATCTGTTTGGGACTTGTAAAAGAGGTCCTATTGAAAAGACCTACCTTCGTATTGGAAATACTGATACCTCTAGTTAGGATCAGAAACAACAACAAAAAAGTAAAAATCAGGCATTGAGGAGCTAGCTGCAATTAGAAATTAATCATAAATGTTTATCAAGTCCTGAATTTTTTAAGCTTGTAGAGACATTAGGTATTTTTTGGAACCAGGCAAGATGAAAAATGAGCAATCGCCTTCGCAGGGAATCGAACCCTGGATCTCTGGAATACTGGCCCAGCATGCAAAACAACTACACCACGAAAGCACGCTAGGAAGGCGGGAGAAATACTTTACATACTACCCCCTTTTAAAGGGCAACTGGGGTTTTTAGGGGACGCAGTCGCCCAAACCTGAATGTGGAGAATCCTCATCCAACACCCTTTTAGTTCAGGCACCACTGTAGAGACATTAGGATTTTTTTGGAGGTCGGAGAGATGAAAAATAAGCAATCACCTTCGCTGGGAATCGAACCATGGACCTCTGGAATACTGGCCCAGCATCCAGAACCACTACTCCACGAAACCACGCTAGGAAAGCAGGAGAAATACTTTACATACCCCCCTTTTAAAGGGCAACTGGGGTTTTTAGGGGATGCAATCGCCCAAACCTGAATGTGGAGAATCCTCATCCAACATCCTTTTAGTTCAGGCACCATTGTAGAGACATTAGAATTTTTTTGGAGGCCAGAGAGATGAAAAATTAGCAATCGCCTTCACCGGGAATCGAACCACGGACCTCTCGAATACTGGCCCAGCGTGCAGAACCACAATAGGAAGGCAGGAGAAATACCTTATAAGCTTCTATGGTAATAGTAGTTCCACAGAAAGTTACATATAAAATATTACTCATTTTCATATTTTATTATTTATAAACCACTATGATTTAAGTCATAGTGGTTTCTGGAATTTTAGCATGCTCCTAGAGCTGCAATAACAGATCTTACAATTATTAATGCATTTGCTCTTCATAGCATGGCAAATGTTTTTTGCTTTCTCCAGTGTGGCAAATTCAAACTGTATGTAGGCTGCATGCCCAATCTAGAAACAACTGAGGGGCCAGATTTTTTTTAAGCAAAATAAATGATATTTTAAATAAACTTAAAAATTTCATTTACTAAATATTTATGAAAATGTGACATAAACCATGACAACATTACCATAAAGGAAAAAAGTCAAATTTCTATCTGAAATATTTATATTTTCTACCTGAAATCCAAAGTTTGATACATGCAAGAAATATTTGTTCGTTACACTTTGTAATTCAAACATACTGACTGACAGCTAAATATTAAATTCTTAGATTAACATTTCTTTCATATAATTCTAGCATGTTTAATTAATCATTAAGTAATTTACTTATATTTAAACTAAAAATAAACAATTTATTGTAAAAATTTCGAAGTTTTCAGAGAAATTGTTTTAAGTGGGACAAAACTTGAGAATAAATAATGACAACCTACTTTCTTTCTCTTAATTATTAAATTTTTCTTCGACACATAAATAAAAATACATATGCTCGTAGGCAAATAATTATAAACTCTTTATTCCTTACTATAGCTTGACAATTGATGGTATTAGATTCTGATAAATTTTGTCTTGATAAATTTAATTCTTGGAGAGAAATTACTGGAAACTATCTTCATCATGAATTGTAGATTCCAACCAGTCAATCAAGTTTTTTTTTTTTTTTTTTTTTTCCCTTATCAATTTTCAACTGTGAAAAAGAGTTGTTTCCAGATAAATGTATTCCCTAGCTTATTTATTTTTTGACAAGTATGAATAAAAGTTAATGAAATCTGTATCTTGAAACCTTTGAATAAGATTTATATCACATTGCAAATTAATTAACTGCATTTACAGATTAGCTGGCACATCATTCACATTTACTTTTAATGGAAACAATATAAATTTTCAAACTTCAAATAACTAAAATCTTTAAATCTTTGTAACAACATATGAGCAACATATACATAATTGAAATGATTCATGGACCACATAAAATTGCTTCATGAGGTCACATGCAGCATGCAGACCGCCAGTTTAATACCTCTACTCCAATTCCACTCATTCTATCATTACATAAAAAAGAAACAAGTATCAGAATTAAGAGCAGGAATGGATAGACTAACTCAGCTATTTTACATAAATCAAGGGTGTTTGTGGGACCCCAAAAAATCCCCTGAAACTTTTACGGACTTACTACCGACATTTTGGAGTTTCGAGAAGGGGGGGCAGAAATGAAAAATTACAATTATGAAGTATTGAATGACCTAATTATAAAAGTTCAATGAATTACTTTTTTTGCAAAATTAATAACCATAAATTTTCAAACATATAAACTACTACATTTTATGTAAATATTTTAAATTACCTGAATTAATTCTTTAAAAAAAAAATTATCTAATTTCTGCTGCTTTTTTTTATTTTCTGATGTTTGTGGGCTTGTCTTTCTTTTGTGGTGAACTTCATAATTGCAGGAAAGGTTGACTTTTATTTTCCTCATTTACAGTTGAAGAAATTTCCTCGAGAACTGCACATGCAGAGGTAGAAGCAGTTTGCTTTTCTGCTAATGTAGAAGGTTTTTCAGAGACTTTTATAGGTGACTCATCTGAAATACATGTTTTTAAGTCCTCTTGATATGTTTTCCAACTTCTGTTCATATTCAGTAAGAGATCTTTGTGAATTGGATCAGTCATTGGATTTTTTTAGCCATATTTTTCACATGAGGTTTCTTTAGAAGCCATTAAATCATATTTAATAGTCTGCACTGCATCTAGGGAATCAATCTTAAGAGAGGTTCTATAGTCAGTGACAAGTGTATCCATTAAGTTGAATGCACTTTCCACTAATGGGCCATGGAAGCAGCTAAGGCAGGCTTTGACCAATTTAGCCAATGTAGGATACTTATAATCATTTGTGAAATCATATTTTAAATTAGAAACTTTAGACCAATATTTATCAATTATACACTTGACTTGATTTCCACTTTCATCAGATGTGTAGAGCATTTCTTTGGTGATATCAAAATCACTCTGGTATAACCTTATTTCAGCTTTGACTTTTCACTTTTCATTATCACTAAAAAAATATGGGACATAAAAGATGATAATTTTTCAAAAGCTAATATTGTATTGGTTTTACCTCTTAGCTCTGGATTTAATGCTGTAAAACTAATTAGATATGAATTTTTAAGGGGTAATTTCTGTTTCATATGCTGTGCTGTATTAGTATAAGCTTTCATCACAGAAATTTGGAATTCTTTTGCTATTGGATGATTTTTTTGATAATTTCTTCAGGAGAGTGGAAGCTTCTGCACCAGTAAATATTACTTTGCTAGGTAGATGGAATTCTGGATTTGTGACATCAACCTTTAATAAATCATTATAAGATGTGCACTCTATATTTTCTGGCTTCATAAAAAAAGAGAAAAATTTTGCCTTCAATTTATAAATACTGGAATGTATTAAATGAAGCATTGTTTTTTTTGTTTTTTTTTTTTCAAATAATTTAATATATGTGTTGAACTCTGGTAATACTGCTGAATATAATGCCATATGCAATAAAGTTTTGTTTTGCATAACAAATAACCCATTTAGTATTCTTTTTTTTCCGAGCTAAAGCATCCTTTGTGAGTTGTTGGGAATGCAAGCAAGAATACACCCCTTCAACAATTTTTTTCTGAGCTGCAGAAATATTTCTTTTATTGTATACAGTTTCAACATAAGAAAAATAATCCCCTTTATCAGTTTTATCCAAGTAGTGAAAATAAAAATGCAATAAGAGCATCCCACAGATCTTTGATTCTTTCTAAAACACATAAAATGTACACCCACCTATGGTCTGGTCTCTTCAAGGGCTTAAGTTTTTTAATGGCAAGGGATTCACAGGTTTGAAAAAATTTTCTCTTTTACTGCAGCTTTTCATATCAAAATAGATGTCATCAAACAAATCTTCTAAGTATCTATCAAAACATGAAGCAATTTTTTTTCACAATTATTAGCTGTGTGACATGTGTCACCATCAATATCTAATAAGTGGGGTGCTTTGTTTGATCGTAGTCTGGTTTCAACACCCTTTTTTTTTCCACGCATGGTGTTACATGAGTCCATTAATACACTAATTAAGTTTGCCCATGGAATATTATTATCTTCAATAGTATTAACAACTGCTTTAAAAACAGCTTCTGAATTGCAAGATTCCATCTTTAGAGATGCAAAATGATGAACTACAACTTCATTTTGATTGTTGTCATAAAACTGCACCAATATTGCCAGTATACTTTCTTGAGCATTGCTAGTACTTTCATCCAAATTTAGAGAAAAATGGAGTCTCCTTTAAAGTTTTAATGATATTTTCCTTAATAGTTTTTGCGAGCCCATATTTCATCTTATAACATGCAGTAGTCCTGGACATTTCCAACGAGTTTAGTGCCGTCTGATCGCGGCTCAACTGTTTGCAGAGTTCAATTAAATTGGGAGCTACATTGAAAGAAAGAGAATTCTCGGCGATAAACGAAGTTATTAATACCTCTTGGCGTGCTTTTCTTGTCACTATATCCAATGGCCGAGCATCAGTCTCCAGTAAGTCATCAGTATTTTTTGAATTAGCATAATTACTTAAAGTCATTGAATGTCTAATGCACTTTGAATATTTTATGTGCGTCACAGTTTTAGAATGATTTGTGAAAGCCTTGAATCCTTCCCCACCATACTTCAGCAGTGAGTTACAAAAAACACAATATGCTTGTCCAGCAACATTTATTTTCTTGCACCATGTGCCGATGGTATCCCCATTACCATCTCTCAGTTCAATCCTATTCCACCTAAATGCATTCCGGACACCTTCTTCTAATTGTATAATATCACTATTTATATCGAGAAATTTCATAGTGAAATTCACTTGCGTACATAAATAAAAAAATATTTCAATAAACGAAACGAAAAATTTACACGTGCATCAATAAATGAAACGAAAATTTTACACAGCGGAGAAAAAAAAGTTGAGAAGCGATCAATGACAAATAGCTAATACGGCGAAAAATCACCCCTTCTCTACTTATTGGCGCCACACCAGGAGAGATAAACCTTTGATCCAGAGTCACGTGATCGCACATCTGGTCGAACGAAGTCTCTCCCTTTTTTTTTTGCCGCACCTACTTGCGAAAAGAATCCAGAAAGAGAATGTCCGAGAACCGAGGGAATGAGTCATAACTCGCATAAGGAAAGAACAAAAAAGAAGTTTTTTTCCCCCTTTTCACGCATTATCA